AACCTTTTTAGTTGTCTTAACTCCAGGACAATTAGTCTTTATATGGCCAGCCTTTCTACAGACTGAGCAAAGACGAACAAAACGTTTAACTGGTGCTTTTTGTTTTACCTTTCTAACAACTTTCTTTGTAGCATTAACACTTCTAGGCTCAAAAGGGCTCTTTCTTACATGAGCTGTTCTGCTTTCCAATTTGTTTTGAAGATCATCATAGATAAATTTTTCCAAAGTTGCGTTATCTGTTGCTATTCCTGTATATTGCAAATCCCTTGCTAGTCGAATTTTAAAATCATCTTTTAGTGGAATAGGAGTAGGTAGTACTGGTTGAAGTTCTGGTTGAAGTAGTATACCGTATTTTGCAGGCTACAGTACTCCCTTATGCACAGTACCCTATACAAATTTTTTTTGGATTTATTAAATACCCGGATATTTCACATGGAGGTGTTCGGATTTTAACCTTCAAAATTTATAAAATATCTGGGGTATCTTTATAAATTTGATTGGCTGATAAAAAAATTGATGACGTTATTTACAATATATATTTTTTAAGGATCAAAAATATTTTTTTAGCTTTAATGTAAAGCTTCTGATATACATTGATGAATTTATTATTATGTGATATTACTAAAATATAATACTAAAGATGGTATAGCAATTGATTTCAAATTTACAAAATGTTGCAACATAAGCTAAAATTAGTTGCAACATATATATGTTAAAACTAATTGCAACGTAAGTTGCAACATTAAAAGTTGCAACATATTAATTACAGTTCCCATCTTTATATAATACATTCTATTAATTCTTTCAATGTAGGATGTTATCCCTCATCAAAAAAATAATCTTAATTTTGATTTCTATCTTCCCCTTCACTATTGTTATCGCTACAATTAATTTCATTATTTTTACCTTTATCCATTCTAATTTTCCATTCATTTTCATAATCATTTTCTTCAATATATTCTTCATCACTAGAATTACCTTCTAAATCTACTTCATCTTCATCCTCCGGCATGTCCAATAATTTATCATAATCAAATAAGTCTTTATTATCTGAACTATCAGTATTCGTTGAAATTCTGCAACATTTAAATAACCTTCTAATAAGATCTTCATCAACTTTATCCCATGATTCCTTAACCCATGTTGCAATTGTTGAATAGGAAGGTTTTTTAATTCTTCCAGCCGGAGTAAGAGCATGAATAGTAGATGACATCCAATCATTATATCGTTCTTTAATCTTCAAATTATTAATAAAAAAAATTAAAGAATTTAAATAAATATTTAAATTATTAATAATAAAAATTTAAACTTAAAAATTATACACTGGTTTACCTTAGTTTTAAAGCTTTTATTAATTGCAACGTCTAATAGTTGCAATTTTGATGTGCAACCACCCGGAATTATAGCAATATTTGTGTTTTTTTCTACCAATCAATTTTTAACTGAATTTACAATATGACAGCGAAAAGAATCCATTACCAATAAGGAATGTGGATTACTAAAAGGATTTCTTGATATCACACAGTTTCAGTCCACCATAACATCTCTTTTTCATTCATCCACCCTTTTTCATTTGCTTGTATATGAATACCATGAGGAAAATTTTCTCTTGGCAAATTTTTCAACTTAAAAATACAAACTGCTGGAAGTTTGCTACCATCAGCCATACATGCAAGTACAACTGTAAAAGATAAATGCTTATGACCTGTAGTATGAATGCTAACCATTTTTGTACCTTTATGATCTATGGTGAAATTATTTGGTAAATCAAACCATAAAGGTGTTTCATCCATATTACCTATGTATTTTAACAGATAGTTATGCTGAATCCTTCTATATAAAACATAACTTAAAAAAATATTTTGTTTTTCAAGCAAGTCTTATGATAATTGTTATGCTACTATTGTTCTGCATCGCTCACTAAGATTATATCTTCTTAAAATCCACTTAGCCATTTGTTTGAAAATTTAAATAAAATGATATTCAGAGTATTTGCCAAAAAATCCTAATTTTTAGATAGCATGATTGCTTTATTGGTAATCATTTTTTGGCTAATGGCATTTTGATTTACTCTTCTATCACAAACCCATGTATATAATTCATCTTCCAAATCTGTATATTTAGCAGATTTATCTAGATGAAGCTTAAGAATATGAGATGCATATGCCAATAATTTTGCTTTATTATTATTCCATTTGCGTACTTGTTTTGGTTGAATATTAAAATATTTGGCAGTTCCACGTTTACTTTCTCCATTATTTTCCAAAAAATGTATTACCATTAATTTTTCTCTTACATTCTATTATCGTCTTGTAAACGATTACGTGTTTTTTTATTTTTTTTATTTCCAATAATAACTATTTTTACTTTAAAATAATTTGCGTCACAAATAAAAGACAAAGAAATGAAAGCGTGTTTATTATTTATAAGGATTTATTATACAAAATAGAAGGAAGAAACAGATAAATGTAATTTTTATTAATCTTTTTTTCCAAAAAGGGTAATTTATCTTACTTCTAAAATATAAATATGTCCGGGTATTATATATGGCAAATATCCTGGGTACTTTATAAATCTTATACCCTCTTATGCACAGTATCCCTACTGTATCCCCCTGTATAATATACCCTGGGTATAGTCTTCAACTCCCTAAAATTTGTATCATATCTAGGGTATTATAGCTCCCATTATACAGTAATTTGACCACTTTGGTCAAAGCTAATCGACTTTCAGAATTAAGAGGAAATTGTTCAGCGTGGTCGAAACTAATTTGATATAAATTTTCACCAAGATAGAATTAATAGCCACAAAGTTATGGGTCTTTTTGCAACTGTATTAACTGTATTGCATGGTTTTTAACTTCACAGTGTAATTTGACCACTTTGGTCAAAGCTAATCGACCTTTACAATTAAGACGAAATTGTTCAGCGGGTTCGAAAATAATTGGATATAAATTTTCACCTAGGTAGAGTTAATAGTCACGAAGTTATAGATGTTTTTTATAATTGTACCATATCACGATTTTTCAAGATTTTAATGTATTTTTAAA